GATGCGGGACTCGATCCCAGGACCCTGGGATCATGACCTGAGCCGAAGGCAGACGCTTAACGACTGAGCCACCCAGGCGCCCTTAACCTCCCATGTTAACGGAAAGCAGTTGCTGAGTTATATAGAACCCAAGGCCTCCCAAGGCAAGAATGTTATGTTGACTGTGTACTATTGGCTGTTATTAACTCTTTGCCAAGAAGCTAAGCAAGCAAAGGAAAATGCCTTTTGGGGTGGAGAAGGACATGAAGAGCAAGTTCTAGTTTTTGTTGTGTCAAAAACCAGTTGTATGGCCTGGGCAAATCCCTCAAGTCAGCTCAGTGAAGATGAACAAGATGAACAAAAACCTGCAATGTGCCACGAAGGGGTCAGAAATCTAATGAAAGACTAGAGGGGGAAAAAAGAAGAAGAAGAAAGGAGAGAAGGAGGAGGAGGAGGGGGAAAGTGGGGGAAGAGGGGGAGCAGCAGAGCAACCACTAAACATATACTCTAAGAATGCAAGGGGAGGACAGATAATATGATATGTGGCTGTCAGGAGGCTGGTAAGGGGCAGGAGATTCATTCTAATGAAGGGAAATCCTTGAGCCTAGGTTCCCTCATCTGCAAAATCAAAGGCCTGGAGGAGATTATCTCTAAGGACTGTTCCAGCTCTAAAGATCTGTCATCCAACAGAAAGTGAAGGCAAGTGAAAAGGAATCTGCCTTAAGAGCTTATTACCAGAGCCTGGAGGTTGGGCAAATGCATCTTGTATTCCTTCAAAGTCCTCTTCTATGGGGCTTGAGGTCTACAAAAGAATAAAAGAGCAAAGGAAGAAGGGTCACTGGAGGCCAACATATAATCCAAAGGTAGAGGGAGAATTTCTTGATGTTCTTAAACCTTGAAAATCTTTCTATCTTTAATAGAAAAAGAACAAACCTGTTTCGAAGACATTAAGGATCATTTGTACTTTATGTCCCTCCTCAACAAGCCCTCCCCTGCCTCCCGCTGTGAGGAGGAATTGTGTGACTTTTCCCTTCTTTATGTTATTATCCCCTCCTCTCCCCAGCCTTCCAACAAAGATGTTTTGATTCTTAGGACCTTCACCAGAAAAGCCAAAGAAGGTTGGGGGGTGCCTGGGTGGCTCAGTCAGTATCTGCCTTCAGCTTAGGTCATGATCCCAGGGTCCTGAGATCGAGCCCCGCAATCAGGCTCCCTGCTCAGCCGGGAGTCTGCTTCTCCCTCTCCCTCTGCTCCTCCCCCCCACTTGTGTGTGCGCTCTCTCTCTCTCAAATGAATAAGATCTTTAAATAAATAAATAAATAACATAAGGGAAAAAGAAAAAAAAGAAAAGTCAAAGAAGGTTGGAAAAATAGCCCAGAATACTGGTTCCTTTGAGAGGGTGCAGTGACTGGGAGGAGGCCTGGGGGCGGTTTTCTGGAGGACTACTTCCTGATCTGGGTACTGGTTATATGAATGTGTTTAGTTTGTGCAAGTCCATGAGCTGCACACATAAGAGCTGTGTACTTTTCTCTATGTTACACTTTATGTATGTATACACACACACACATATATATGTATGTATGTATACATATGTACGTGTGTATATATATATTTTGTATCTTTTTATTAAAGATTTTCTTAACATCACAGTCTGCTCACAGTAAAGTCAAGAACAGGTGAAGGATTAATAATGAAAAACTGCTCTGAGTTATCAGAAGTACAGAACAGTGGAAATGATGCTTTTGTTGCATCACTGAATTCTTATCAGTCAAAGGTCGTGTTTGAGACATACAATCAATTCCTCCTTTTCCTCCACCCCACCTTCCATATTGGTAAAAGGTCCAAAAAAGGTGGTAGGTTAGTAGGAAGACGAGGCAGAAATTATATAAATAAATAAGAAAATCCAAACAGCTTCATTTTACAAATGAAAATACTCTGTACAAATAGATGCTTGCCAAAGCCGGGCAGGTTCCCGAGAAAGCCCCATGCACTGCCCAGCATCACATTCATGCTGAGCCCTGGCCTCTGATCCTGGCTCTCCCACCACTGAAGCTTGGCAGGCCAGGGCTAATTCCCTACATGTGTGGATCACCACTTCTTCACACAGAGGAAAAACAGCAGGCCTTCTTCTCTTCTCCACAGGAAGAGTATGTGAATTAGGTAACATGAAGAAAAGTGTTTTGAAAAAAAGTACTAAGTACTGTACAAATGCAGGAATCACAGTTTTGGGAGAAACTGCATATGACTTTCCATTCTCAAATATCTTATTTTTCAGAAGTCTTTTCAAAACATGAAAGCACTGCTAAGTCAACATTATACACTTTTATATGTAAGCTATTTTTTCTCAATAAAAATAATTTAAAAGAATGAAGGCAATAGAGAAAGCTGAAAAGTACTTTACCCTAAACAGTGGCTTTTACCTCTAGAGCTAAGTTTTCTTGAGCAGTTGAGGAATAAAAATATTCATGGTCTGGAGTTAAAAATTCATCTGTTATGTCCTCAGAAGATTCTGGTGAACAAGTTGATCGCACAGACTGATCCTATTAATAATGTAGGAAATCACTTTTAGGTTGGTGTTCATTATAAACAAATCCCTTTATATTTGGATGCAGTGTTAATAATGGGGTTATCTAACATTACCCAGCAGTCAGGGTGACACTCCCTGAGTCAGCCCTCCCTGCCTGCTTGCACACCTGCCTCTGCCCTCCTTCCCCACCGTGAGCTATGTACCCCCTGCAGCAAGTGAGGCAAATGACAGTCCTGAGACTCACATCCTCATCTGTACAATGGAGGGGGAGGGAGTTGGGCGACTTTTCTGCTCTGAAATTCTAAGAAGAAAGGCCCTAGACAACTCAAGCTGGGACTGAGCTTGAACAGCCACAGATGCTTCGTCCTCCAGACTGAGGAGTCCCGTGGGTGCTACAGTTTAAAAGCAAGTGAAGGAACATGACGTTAAAAATGGCAATGCAGGGGCACCTGGTGACTCAGTCAGATAAGCATCTGACTCTAGATTTTGGCTCAGGTCTCGATCTCAGGGGGTAGTCTGCTTGAGGATTCTCTCTTTCCCTCTCCCTCTGCCCCTGCTCACGCCAGCTTGTGCACGTGCTCTCTCTCAAATAAATAAATCTTTTGAAAAAAATAGCAATGCAATCTCAATAATAAAAATAAAACTTGAAAATTCAAAAGTACCAGTGATTTCTTTAGCATCTCTGTTTCCCCCCTTCCTTTTCTGCTCATTTCTCCATGTTCAGGCCCTGGTCCCCACATGGCAGGCAACTAACTCCTCTCCACACCTTCAGTCATCTCTTGGCAGAGGTTTTGTGATTTATTTCCTTGGATGCCGCTTCCACCACACACTTCCCTTCCCGCACACGTAGCAGCTGCTCCCCTTTACCTCTCATATCAGATTGAAACTTCTTAGATAAGCCTGGCCTCACATACCCTCCCCACTTCCCTGACAGACCTGCTTCTCCAGCCAAGCCAGTATGCTTAACAGGGCCTATCCTTCCAGCCCCCATGTAAGAAAAAGAATAAATTGTCTTAAATTGTCCTTGTGAGTGGTTTCTGTGCTATGATTAAATACAACAGCATGTTCGTTGAAAGACCTTAAATGTTATCACAATTGTATTTTTATATTATTTCATTTTCAGTTCCTGTTTATATTCTTTAAGTGATTGTGTCCTCATATCATAATGATAAAAAATTCTGGTTCCTGGGCGCCTGGGTGGCTCAGTTGGTTAAGTGACTGCCTTCAGCTCAGGTCATGATCCCAGGGTCCTGGGATCGAG